TGATATGTTCAATTCTACAGTAACCATCTAAGTAGAGTGTGGTTCGTAGCTCTTCATTTTCCAGGGGCAATTTAAAGCATCTAGATTACATACCTAGACTTACCTAAAGCTTATGACATGAATCTCTTGTGCAAAACTAAGCCATTGCAATGTATAGCTGTTTCCCTGGCATGACTTTTTGGTTCAGGTCTCATTTAGAGAGAAAACATGGTTGAAAGTTGAATGGTAGTCAGGAATTATCTAAGAATTAATTCTAACGTTGACATTGTTTTTTGTGTGGCCTTCAGCAGGTCTCCATTGCTATTTGTAAACACGGCTATGTACCCAGTTCTTGGAGATTAGCATAAGTTCATACTAGTACATAACTTCTTGAAAATATTGATGCCCACTGGTACTTTCATGGGATGGTGAGGTGGCTGCTAATCAGTAGTGCAGACCATGAAACAAAGCTAAACACGGGGGCTGGAGAGGGGTAGAGGGTGTGGAGGGAAGGCAGCATCCTCTTTTGTGTAACCTGTTGAGGAACAGCATGTTTGTCATTCCCAAGCCACACACTTGAAAGATGCAGATTTTATAGGGCTGGGGTATATAATGCTGCAAGAGCAAGGAGATTTCACCATCTTGACTGTCTGCTGTCTTTCTCTAGGACACTGATTGAGCCACGGCAGGCTGAAATCCGAAAGGAGTGTCTCCAGCTATGGGGGGTAAGTAAGCTGCCAAGCAGGGAGGTTGTGAAGGTGTCCTTGCTGTGGTGAAACAAGAATGGAGCTGCAGTACAGATAGGACTTTCTCGCCAGAGGTTTAATATGTTGTCTTGTGGGAAAGTCAGAGACCATTTCATGCTGTTTATGTAAGCAAACAGGGTGCTTCTGATTCATTATGCGTATGGCTTAACTGAGCAGGCTTCTTTGCTGCAGTTGAGACTATTTCATAGAATCATAAAATCTTAGAATGGTTAGGGTTGGAAGGGACCTCAAAGATCATCTAGTTCCAACCCCCCTGCCATGGGCAGGGAAACCCTCCACTACACCAGGTTGCCCAAAGCCTCGTCCAGCCTGGCCTTGAACACTTCCAGGGATGGGGCATCTACAACTTCTCTGGGCAACCTGTTCCAGTGCCTCACCACCCTCAGAGTGAAAATTTTTTTTCTTATATCCAATCTAAATCTACCCTCTTTCAGTTTAAAGCCATTGCCCCTTGTCCTATCACTACATGTCCTTGTAAAAAGTCCCTCTCCAGCTTTCCTGTAGGCCCCCTTTAAGTCCTGGAAGGCTGCAGTAAGATCACCCGGAGCCTTCTCTTCTCCGGGCTGAACAGCCCCAACTCTCTCAGCCTGTCTTCATAGCAGAGGTGTTCCAGCCCTCGGATCATCTTCGTGGCCCTTCTCTGCACTCGCTCCAGCAGCTCCACGTCCTTCTTGTGTTGGGAAGAATTTCATTGTACACAGAGTGAACTCATCACTTAGTTCCCAAGCAGCAGAGCTCTCCAAAAGATCTTGTTTTATGAGTCTGCTGTTTCTCTTTTCTGAGCTTTTGACTGTAGTGGGGCCATAGGTATGGTAGTCAGTTTCACAGGCTAATTGTTTGTCTTCGATGAAATAGTATTTCATCGAAACATGCATGAAATCAAAGATTTAGCCTGAAACATTCTGAAGTTGTCTATTGTTTCCTGTGAGATGTGGCACGCTTACATTAAATTTGCAAAACACGTGAGACCTTTTATTTGCCAGATGACCTCTCCAGGAACTGGAATCCCAAGAGCAGGAGTTTCAGCGGGCAGGATGTTCTGTCATGTATTGAAACCAGAAAAGTTCCTGTGAACGTGCCAAAGAACAACATTTATTAACAATCGTTTGGATTTGTTTTCAGATTCCTGATCAGGCTCGTGTTGCTCCTTCATCTTCAGATCCCAAGTCCAAGTTCTTTGAGCTGATCCAGGTGAGACCTTACCCAGAAGCTTGTTCTGAGTCCTTTCATACAAACAGAACTTTTCCCTATAGGAACTGAGAGATGAAGCAGCTAGTCCTGGATTATCATTTCATGTAGAATTTGCGTTTACCTACCTGTTGATGTAGTGTGTCTAATTTGCCTTTTCCATACTTGGCTCTTTAGGGCACAGACATTGATACCTTCAGTTACAAACCCACTCCTCTGAATTCCAGTACACTGGAGAAAATTCGCCAAGTGTTAGATTACCGGTGTATGGTGTCTGGAAGTGAGCAGAAGTTCCTCTTGGGGCTAGGGGTAAGCGCTGAGAACAGTCCGGGAGTTTTGCTGGTTCATTTCAATGCTACTATTCTGCCTCGTGGTTTCATCCTATCCTTTCCTGTCCTCAAAGGTCAGAAAGGATCGCCATCAGCAATGCCTGAGACTGCTAGTTATTTTGCGTTTCTTTCTCCTGACTTCACTGCTTTTCACACTAATTAACCCTGGTTTTGTAATCGCAGCTTACACAGAGACCTGTACTCTTGCTACTAGTGTCTCTAATTATCTCACTGTCCTTTTAAAGGTGTTCTATTTCTGGTTCTTTGTGAGGGTATGAAAAGTCACTGGCAGATTAGAATCAGTGTTTTTGTTCCTTTGCTGTAGAGATTAAGGTTCTTCCTTAAAACTTCGTACAAAGAAACTACCTGTGACAGCCTAGGACAAAAAGATTCTGAGGGCTGCTCTGCAGTTAGAGGTCCCTCCTCTGCCCCTGCCCTCGTGAAGCTTTGGCTGAATCTGACTCTGTCTTCTACACACAGAAATCACAGATCTACACCTGGGATGGTCGCCAGTCAGATCGCTGGACAAAGCTGGATTTGAAAACTGAGCTGCCACGAGATACCCTTCTCTCTGTGGAGATTGTTCATGAACTAAAAGGAGAGGTAGGAGGCTATTCTCTCCCTTACCAAGTGGCTGCAAATATAATGAGCAGTTTCGCCTATTCTTTGTAAGATACTGCAGAATAAATGTTCCATTTGTGCCAGGTACAAGTGTTTTTGTATATGATCTTTAGAGAAACTGTTTTGGATTAAGTTCCTTCTTTCTGTCTGGTGCTTGAGATATGAGCTTTTAACATTATTTGGAAAACTCTTTGGACCTGACATGCTGCTGTTGTCCTACGTGCAGCAGCAGATGACATTGCAACGTGACTTAATGTGTTCTGTGGCTCTTTGGGTACAAAACTGCTCAGTAGTGATTGCAGACCTTGGGGGAAAAGGTTCTCACAGTATATTCACGGTGTAAAGTATTGCTGCCTGGGAGTTTGCCTGCCCTCTGGCACCTCAGATGAGGATGCTGGAGTGCACTGGGCTTTGTGCTGTGGCACCTGGTAAAGCAGCTAGTGATGGTGATGGCAGCTGTGGTCCTGCCCTTTCTCCCTGCCCTGAGACAGAACTGTGTAGTTGACATACACCAGTTCTTGGAGGATGGCACGTTACTTTACAATAGGCAGCAGGGTATTTGTGTGCTTCTAATATCTGGAAAGGTGCTTTCTTGTATAAATCAAAAAGGAAATAGCAACAGCGAGTAGTAAGTCTCTGTATTGCCCTCCATAGGGGAAAGCCCAGCGAAAAATCAGTGCCATCCACATCCTTGATGTCTTGGTGCTGAATGGCAATGACGTTCGAAAGCAGCATTTCAACCAGAGGTACGTAGGATCTGGAGAAGCTTCTTTCTTGCACAGGAGTAGGAGTGACTGGGAAACAGTGTTCACACTAAAAGCAGAATGC